GCTCATGAGCCTTCGAAAAAGTCCGATCCTCTCCCATTTTACTTTTGCTAGCATTGTTCTCATACTTCTTCTTCAACCTCCTCACTTTTTCAAACAATTGGGTCTTGCTAATATCAATGTGTAGTGATTTCTTGATGAAATCATAAAAAGCATTCATATCGACGAGTGGATCAGACCCTTTTTTCGCAATATATTAAATCATACCTTTCAAAATCACAATCTCAGCGAGTGGTCGACCGTTGTTTACCATTTTGTAGAGAGAGAAGGAGAAGATTGGTGAGAGCTAGGGTTTAAATAGTATTGAAGTAGAGAAAGAAAAATGAAGTTTGATTTGAGAGAGTCAAATTTCTCTGTGATATATGGGTGTAAGGGTTGAGGGACCTTAGATATCATAAAATAATATTGTGGATCTCTTCCATTACTAAAAATGGGAGAGGGACCTTAGACTAATTTTTTCCTTTTTTTAAGGTGTTAAAAATTACTATTCAATTCACAAATTGGTTCCTTAAATTTTTTTGCCCAAGTACAGCAAGTTGAGTCATTAGAACTGTTCAAAATTTGAAAAAAAAAAAATGTTAGTGTGTTTGGTTTCAGTTTTATGAAAACCGAGTTTTTTGTTTTTGTTTTGTTTTTTTTTTTTGTTTTTAGTGAATATTTTTTAAATTTTAAGCAATATTTTTTTACTTTTTTAGATGTACTTTACTTAGATGCATCTAAATATTAAATATTTGTGAAAAAATATTTAAAAAAATTAATAAATACACAAAAATATGAAAAATGTATTGAATTTTCATTTTTTTTGTTTGTATTTTTTGGTATTTAGTGTATTTTTTAAAGATTTTTTCACAAATATTATACTTTTTAAGTGTTAGGTTGACTAAAAATTTTTTTAAAAAAATTGCTTAAAATATTAAAAAAATTCATTGAAAACATTAAAACACGAAAAATAAAAAAATAGAATTTTCTAAAAACTAAAACCAAACAAGCTAATTCATGTTGCGTCCAATTTCCTTTCCGCTACCACGTCAGCAAGTTGAATTTGTAACTTAGAACATGCGGAGGGCGATGCCAGGACTAGGAATGGCAACGGGGCGGGGCGGGGCCGGGGATCACACTCCCCGTCCCTGATCCCCGATGGTGAACATGGCCCCGTCCCCGGCCCCGATCCCCAACGAGGAACCTATCACTCTCCCTGCCCTCGATCGGGGATCAGGCTTCCCCGACCCCGAAAATTTCCTGACCTAAATTTGTTTCAACATCATCAACAACAACATCACACATACATTTTCAACAACATACACAGAAAGATCAACAACAACATAAAGACACAATACATTTTCAACATCAACAACAAATCATTAACAACAGAATAAAAAATAAAAAAACAAAAAAAAATTTTGACAGAAAGATCTGAGAGCATCTGAGTGTGTTGCGTGCATCATCAACACAAAAAAAATTGACGATGAAGGAGATCATCTAGGTGTGTTGCATGCATCATCAACGTAGATTTGAGAGCACGATGGAGGAGAGAGAGAGAGAGAGAGAGAGAGAGAGAGAGAGAGATAAACTAGATTTGGTGGAGTTCATGGAGGACTCCACCATGTTTGATTGATCTCGTAATCCCTGGAGTAAATCTGTAGCGGTGAAGATCTAGTGAGGGACGGCGGCTACTGGCCAGGGGTAGTATGGTGGTAGTGGCGTCGAAGGAGGTAGTGGCGTCGGAAGAGGCAATGGTGTCGGAGGATCGAGTCGTCGACTTCCGATACAGAAGAGAGAGTAGAGGGAAGAGAGGGAGAGAGAAGTGGATTTGTAAGGGAGAGAGAGAGAGAGAGAGAGAGAGAGAGAGAGAGAGGAAAATCTTGCTCTAAATTTTTTCTAACCTTAAAACATGAGAGAGAGGCCCTTTATATTTGGCTTCTCATTTTATATATATATATATATATATAGGTAAAATGGTAATTTTACTTCGAGAACAAATCGGGCCGGGAACGGGGCGGGGACAGGGCTTGGACACTTGTCCCTGTCCCCGGCCCGAAATTGATCGGGGATTAATTTTTGAATATCATCCTCGTCCTATCGGTGATATTTTTCGGGAAAAAACCGCTCAAATTGGAGACGGGGGGTCGGGTCCCTGTCGGGTCGGATTCAAATTGCCATCCCTAATGTCACCTTACATATAGGGGCAATTTGGTCATTTCAGTTCAAAACATCATTTCAAACACTTTTCCCAATACAACCATTCAAAAAAATTTCAATCTATCTTCCCAAATACACAAACTAAAATAATCTACTAAAATAGTCAAATAGCCAAAAAGCTTAAAAAATAACCACTTCCCCAAACGAGACCAAAATAGTAATAATTATATTAAGAGCAACATTCCATTCTCCCATTTCATCACCCCTAATTGCACCTCTAATGAGGTGATAAATAATATCAACCAATCAATTTTTTTTCAAACTCTTCTCTTTCTTTTCAAAATTATTTGTCATTTCATTAGAAGTGTAATTGGGGGTGATGAAATAAGGGGATGTAACAAAATTCTTATATTAATAGAGGGGCAATTTGGAAAGATTGGCTTTTTAGTTTTTTTTTTTTTAGATTTTTGACATTTTTGAGTCATATCACATCTCTATTTTTTTTACACAAAAAAGTTAAAAAAAAGCCAAGAAACTAACATTTTACCATCTTCTCAAAACACCACAGAATTGACTTGATTCACTTTAATCAGTTGAATAAGGGACAAAATTAGTCATGTCTATTTATTTATTTTTAGACAATTTTATTGATTGAAAGTACTACATGCATATACTACATATGAAAATTTATTAAATAATTCCATAATATCATATAATGGGTTCGTTTGGAAAGTGTGTTGGTTTTTTTTTTTTGGCTAAAAAGTCTTATTTGGGACAAGTTTTTTGGCTTTTTTAATTTTTGTGAGAGAAAAAAATGAAATGATTATAATTTGAGTGTCACATTTTCTCTTATTGACTTTTTTATTATGATTTATGGTTAAAATAGCTAAAAAAATCAAGGTTTTTGACATGCCAAATGAAGGCAATATTGGTGACAACCCACACTAGCTAACTAGCAAGGTAGGTTAACATTATGGAGTGTTTTGGGAAGTTGGTAAAAAGTTGATTTTTTAATTTTTTTTGCTTTTTTGGTAACTTTTTTTGACAAAAAGTTGGCTTCTTTTGGCTTAAAAATTAAAAAACTGACTTTTTTAATTTGTTGCCGAAATGAGCCTATATTATTCCATTTGTAAAATATTATGCCACTCTATTGGCTGGAAACAATAAGTGAAGAATACCACATGGTAATATGAGATCACCCAATCAATTATTCATTACATACATATATTTCGGGGACACTTGAAAAATATTGTAATGAATAAGTGCATTTAAATAAGAACAATTTAAAATAATTATATTTTTATGAAAGTGGTGAAAGTTATACTTTAAGGCCATATTTGTTGGGACCGATATATACTTGAGATTGGACTAATAGTTTAATAAAATTATTAATTTGATATTTGATTAAAAAATTGAAGTACGGATTAACAATTTATCCGGATATGGTATCCCAATAGACTATTCAATCCCACATAAGGGGCGTGATATAAATTGGGAGATTAAGTCAAAGTTTAGACTAACTTATCAAATGACCATAATAAATGCATTATGGTCAATATATGAGATATCTCATGTTCTGTCATATCTTATCCATTCCAATCCCTTTAAACAAGCATCGGATTGGATAATATTTTGTTAATTCCTCTTTATAATCCTAACTCAATTCAAATATAAGATGGGATATACAATCTGAAGGGATTTGTAGTCCTAGGATTATTAGTCATAAAAGGCCATGTTTGTTTGGGTGGACATGAGGTTGGGATTGGATTAATAGTCCAATAAAATTATTAATCCGATGTTTGGTTAAACAATTGAAGTACGAACTAATTATTTTAAACTTGACTTTTAGTTAAGATAGGATATATAATCTAACGGATTCGTAATCCTAGAATTATTAATCATGGGAATGCTAATCTAGTCCGTCCAAACAAACATGGCCAAAATGTTAATTTACTCATTTATTTTGGCTTACATCTTTGTGAAAGTATATATATATTTTTTATTTATTAAAGTTGAATCTATTTAAATGTAATTTTCCCAATATGTTCCCCACTCTAATAATAAAGATTTTATATATGATGTAAAATTCCATTTAGCACCAGTGGTCTAGTGGTAGAATAGTACCCTGCCACGGTACAGACCCGGGTTCGATTCCCGGCTGGTGCAATTTAATGTTTTTCTTTTTTATCTCCCGGAATAGTTTTAAACTAGACCGGTTTATCTAAGACGATTCGTTGTTTAAGTTTTTGAATCAATTTTTCAAAACTCCAAACCTATTTGGTTCAAAATTTTTAAAAATTCATTTCAAAATTTAAAATTCAAAACTTATTTGATTTAAGTTTTTTACAAAATTGATTTTGTTTGGTTTTCAAATATTGGCCAAACAATTTTTTATATTCTAAATATATACAATCTAAATAGACTTAAATAATAAATAAAATGTGAAGAACATAAATACAAATTTAATAAATACATAAAGTATTAAGATTGTATTACTTTTTTAACCGAGTCAAACTATTATTATTATTATCTTTTTTTATATATTTCTTGTTGTTCAGTAATTTTATAAAAAGTTATATTTAAATATGAAATAAAATATGGAGTGAAACTTTTTCCTATAGATTAGATTATGAAATCTTCCAAAACTAATTTCAAAAGGTAATACTAGGGATATTAAATTTTTTACTAAATAAATGATCACACACACCCATATAAAATATTAAATTATTTATTTAATAAAAAATTTATGATTTATAGCATTTTTCATTTCAAAACTAAACCAAATGAGTCAAAATTTTCGCTCGAATAATTTTAAACGAGTTCGGGTTTATTTAAAACTTGGGTTACAAAATCAACAGTAACCAAACAACACCTAAACTCCCAATTTTTCCTTCCTTTTTTTATTCCTTTCATGCCCATTTCTTCCCAGTCCGCAGCAAAAACCAAAACCCTAGTTTTTTTTTGGTTGAAGCTCTCTCAACCCTCGCCCACCATGGTACTCTCTCTCTCTCTCTCTCTATATATATATATATAAATATAATATGTGTGTGTGTGTGTGTGTATTTGGTTAGGGTTTAGTATGTTCATTTTGTGTTTTCTATGTTGACACATTCAAATTTCAATGCAGACTGCGGAAGCTGTGAACCCAAAAGCATACCCATTGGCCGATTCCCAGCTCACCATCACGATTCTCGACCTCGTTCAACAAGCCGCCAACTATAAACAGCTTAAAAAGGGTGCTAACGAAGGTTTCACAATCAAACCAGTCCACTTAATCATCATATATAAATGTTGAGTTTTTCACCAAACCCAAGTGATTTGGAAATGAATTCCCAGACCCAAAGTTGTTTTCAACCTATTTCACTCAGGAAATTTGTGAAGTTGTGTTTTGAAAAAAATAAAAAATAAAAATTTGAACTTAATTTTCAAACCCAAACACAATTTCACAAATTCGTACCTGGGTTTGGGAAACAAGTTGAAAAAGATTTGAGTTTGGAAATTTGTTTTTAAATCACGTGGGTTTGGTAAAAATAAAATAAAATTCATGAATGTGTATGTTTATTGGTATATGATTGTCTTCTCTATTGCTTGATATGGCTCTGGTTTGAATTTCAGCTACTAAGACTCTGAACAGAGGTATTTCCGAGTTTGTAGTAATGGCGGCCGACACGGAGCCCCTTGAAATCCTTCTTCACCTTCCACTTCTTGCTGAGGATAAGGTAAACTATTATATGATATTTTACTTGTATATCCGCTTATGAATTGTTTATTTGCAAATTTGTGTTGCTTTAATAACAAACACTTTGTTGTTTAAAGATTATATTGAATGGGATGTTGCAGGATTACTTGCCCTTTCTAAGTTAGTAATTCAGTGTTGCTAAGTTTGGAAGTTAAAATGGATGAATACAAAGAGAAGAAAGAATATAAGTAGATGATAACTCTGTGGAAATAAGTTTGAACTTAGAATTAAATAAAGATAAGTTAGCAATTCAGTGTTGCTAAGTTTGGAAGTTAAAATGGATGAATACAAAGAGAAGAAAGAATATATGTAGATGATAACTCAATGGAAATAAGTTTGAACTTAGAATTAAATAAAGATATGATTTACATTCCCTCTTTTCACTGCCTGAGGACAGATTGACCGATGATGAAATAATATAGGTTGAGATGCATTGTCCATATACAATGAGCATAAGTAACTCCACTGGTGAGAAGGGAGAGACATGTTCTCTGACACTTGAGCTATTGGTGTCATTCCCTTTTCTTCTTGATATGATGAATCACATTTAGCAGTACTTAATTTTTTTTTTCTTTCTCTTTTATGGGTATTGGAAAATAATTTTTTGTAAATTGTCTGCTAAACTTGATCAAAAAATTGAAGAAGAAAAATGTTGCAAAGTCTGCATGAGTTATGACCCCAGTGCCAACAGTTTGCAGCTGTGTCGACTGTAAAACAACCAATGAAACAGTATTTAAGAAACAATACAAGGCTCTGACATGGTGTTAATGAGGGAAAAGATCAAAGAAAACCATAAAAGTCACACATTCCTTACTGCCTTAAATGTAAAAAAAAATTCATTCCATTATTTTAAATTTTGGTTGATTAGTAAAAGCAAATTTATGATGGAAAGTGAAAAATGATAGAAAGTGAAGTGAAAGAAAGGAAAAAAAGAGAAGAAAAAATATTTTCTTTTATGCCTTTGATTTGGATGAAAATTTTGCAAGAAATAATTGAAAACTTTAACTTTGTAGTTTCAAAAGCTTAAAAGGTGTGATAAAATTCTTATATTTTACCTAATTGTCATTATCCATTTCAAACAAATTGGTGGAACCATGGGCAAATTTGGAAAGTGTAATAATTGTGGGAAACTAAATTATAAGTTTAGAAGCTTAAGGGAGTTGTGTAGAAAATTTCACTTTCCAACATTTCTAGAATCTCTTGCTAAACAAACACCAATATTTTTTATTTTTATTTTCACTTTCCTGCATTTTTCATCACTTTTCTGCTAATCAAACAGACCCTTGTGGTCTTCTAAAATATCTTAGTATCCCATAGTTGTAGCTAGACTTATTTTGTGGACATTTTGTTTCTTGATTTACCCCTTTTTTGGGTGAAAATATAATTTCCTTAAGTAATGTAGGGTACTTCCCTTCCCTAATATGTTTGCTTTGTTGCAATGCTTACTCAAAATGAGTAAGTGTCTGTGGAAAATGTTTCATTCTACAGTAGCAAACAGAGAAAATTGAACCACCTATTTAATTTAGCTGTCTTTCAGCCTTCATTTGGAGGTTAAGTTTGTCTAGCTTCTATTTGCAGCAGACACGTGAATTTGAGTTCATTTAACATAATAACTCAAGAGATTGAGAGATGAAGAACTACCGTGATCTTAAAAACCAATTAACTTCGCTATTTAATTTTTACAGAATGTGCCTTATGTTTTTGTTCCTTCAAAACAAGCACTTGGTCGAGCATGTGGAGTCACTAGACCAGTTATTGCTTGTTCTGTGACAAGCAATGAGGCAAGCCAGTTGAAATCCCAAATACAGCAACTCAAGGTTACTTTCCATTGATATTATTTTTCATGCACCTTGTTCTCTGTTTTCCTGTCAATGATTTTCAAGCCCTGAACTACAATCTCATAAATGCAGGATGCGATCGAGAAGCTCCTCATCTAACTGCGTAAAACCTATCAAGCATGATTGGAATTTGAAACTTGATATACATTGGAGGCTTTGACGGAACAAGTTGTGTTCTTACAAATATCTGTTTGTGAGTTTTTTTTATTTGAAGTACTCATCCATATCTTGGTCATGATATTTTTACATATGCTTAGTAAAAAGCAAGTACAATTGTTGAAGGCTTCCGTCTTAATATGTTGAGAGATGCGGAATGGTGTCAGGAACAGAGTGAAGAAACTATATCATAACCATTTTGAGTTGTTATATTAAATATAAATATTGTCTATAGTCAGTTATTTATCAAAAAAAAAAAAAAAATTGTCTATGGTCCGTTCTTGTTTATGAGCCTTATGATGTGTGTTGTTAGTTTAATGGACTCTCTATGACCTACAATTAAGGTTTTAAAAAGCGGCAGCAACCGTTACGTAACGCCGTTACGTAACGGTTTGGGTGATTACCGCCACCTGTTACGGCCGCTTTTGCAGTGTGATTGAGATTTACAGGTGTGTCGGCCGTAGCGGTCGTAACGGTGCAGTAACAACCGTGACGACCTGTTACACACTGTTACGTAACAGTTCCAAACTGTTTCTTTCGAAAAAAAACACACAAAAAAAAGCTGAAAATGGGGGAAAATGGATTGAGAGAAGAGGGAAGATAAAGAGAGAAAATGGAGGAGCAAGAGATAGAGAGAGAGAAGAGGGAAGATGAAGAACATGTTATTGATTTATTAAAGTTGTAAGACCTATGCTATTCTATTCAACTGCTATCACTCAACCATTTTGTTTGTGTGTGTCCATCTATATATTGTCTGAAAATAATAATAATAAGTGTGGTCATTATCTATTTGGTTTGGTTAAAATATGTATATATATATATATATATAGGTTTTTATTTATTCTCTTACTTTTGTCATTGTTTATCTTATATATAATAGTTACTGATTGATTTTTTGTATAATATAAAGTTATTAATTATTAAAATAAAATATAAAAAACTCAGTTTATAGTGAGTTAAAAATATGAAATATATTGGATCATACTTAAAAATTTACAAAAATTGATCAATATTTATTTTAAACTCAATAAATATGATCATAGAAAAAAAATATGCGTATCGGTAAGTTTTTTTCAAATTATGCGAAAAATAAAAAAATTAACGGTTACGGTTCCGGTTACCGCAACTGTTACACTAAGGCATTTACACCCTGCCACCGCAACCGCGCCACCGCCACCATTACGGCGACCGCAACTGCTTTTCAGAACCTTGCCTACAATACTAATTTTTCTTGCCGAACAACATACTTGAAAAAAAAAAGTTGCAGGAAACTGAGAAAATCATTGATGGTTATAGGAAAAAAAATTATTTAGAGAAAATTTTATTTTTACCTCTATACTTTGCCTCGATTTTTAATTACACCTTTAGACTTTTAAAATTTCAATTTTACACCAAAAGTTTTTGAAATCGTATCAATTTTGCCCTTACCATCAAATCTGAAACGAAAAAAGTTAAAAAAAATTACATTTTGGTCCCAAATTTGAAAAAAAAGATGTAGACTCACTTTCTTTTACCACCAAACCACCACCACCGCCCACAACTTCAAGACTTTCTATCTCCTTTGTCATAATTTTGTTTTACTTCATTTTTATGTCATTGTATTCACCTCACGACTTAGTTTTCGTAGCACCATTCACATGTCTCGTTATTTCTCTTTTTGCATATTGTAGGAGCTTCAAAAGTTGATAAAAAAATATAAAGCTTTTCTTTTCTTTTTTGACTTTTCATCGAGCCATCTTTTGGACTTCATATTTTTTTGATTCTTGATGGTTTTACTTCATTCTTTCACCATTCTTTTCACTTCACACTTCCTACTTCGTCCTACATTGCCTTGCTTTCTCATTTCTTTGTGTAATGGGCGGTTTTGGTATGTCAAAAGTTGTCTGAAAACTAACTTCGAAAATTCTAAAACATTCATCTTTTGTTTCTTTCTCCTCAATCTTCCTTCTTCTTCTTCTTCACTTATAACATGATATGGAGCATGGTTCTAAGTGATACCAGAGCTGATGATGGTGGTGGTGGCGGTCCGGTGATGGCGGCGAAGCTCACGGTAATGGTGGTCGTGGAGCTTGGTGGTAGTGGTAATGGAACTTGGTTGTGAAAGAGGTGAGTTTGGTATTGAAAGGTGGTAGTGGTGGTGATGGCGATGCTCATGGTGGCAGTAATGGAGTTCGGTGGCAGTGAAGTTGGTGGTTCGGATGGTGATGTTGATGAATGTGATGAAGTTAATGAGGTTAATGCTCATCTCATCTATATAAATACGTATCATCTAGGGTGTATATATGCATATCATCTCATCTCTTCATCACCTTCATCAACCTCATGGATATGTATATATGCACGTGTTTGTGCTATTAAATGAAGTGGGTGTTTTTGGTTGATGATGATTACTTTGGTGAGCATGTGTTGGGATTTTGTGCAATTAATCAAGTGGGTTTTGTTTGATTTAGCAAATGGGTGTGTTTGTTATTGATATTTATGGTGTATGCAACATAATTTATCTAGAGATGACTAGAATTTGAAAGAAATGTTGGTTTGTTCAGTTTACCAATTGGGTTTCTATTTTTTGTGTTTTTGTATTTTTCTCATTTAAGGAGGTGATATACATTTTCAATTAGTAGTCACAATTATCAACAAGTATGTTGTATACATTTTCAGATGAAATCATTTTATCCTACTACGACTAAGAAATAACAAACTCACGGGTCATTTAATAATGTTTGTTGATTTTTTGTTTTTTGTTTATAGAAAAAGAAAAGAAAAATATTTTAGTGAACACAAAAATTTCAAAACATGTTTTGTGAGTTGGTGGGGGTGGTGGTTATCGGTAGAGGGTAGACAGATATGGTGGTTGCTGATGCGGTGACTAAAAGTAACGGCATGGAGTTGGTGGTCGGAGTGTCTTTGGAGGTTACAGTTGTCGAAGGGTCTCCGGAAGTGGCTAGAGCTTGTTGGAGGGTTGCTGGTGTTTGGCCAATTTTGAGGAGGCGGTGGGTAATGGTGGAAGGTGGTGGTGGGAGGAGGAGAGAGTGTGAACTTGTGTTGAAAATAAGTGAACAATATATATGTATATGAATAATAGCAGATTCTTCTAATTTTGTCTCCCTCAATTTCACCCTTAATGGTTAAGATTCATATAAAGAGGTCTTACACTCCTCTCCTCTCACCTTTAATTCAACATAATTGGGGGGCAAAATTAAGGGATGTATCAATTTTCATATATATATATATATATATTGTTTTCAAAGGTTTTAAAATTTTAAAATTAATTTCATTTAAAAAAAAGTAGTATACCAAATGAGTTTTCATTTTTAGTTTCTAGAAAAGATGAAATGAAAAAGAAATAGAAAATGAAAGAATCAAACGAGGCCTAAGTAACTTCCTTATTCAACAAAGAAATAAATAAAAAATTATCAAATTTGATATATTTGAGTTTTGAATATTTTAAAAACCTAATAAAAAGATGCTGAAATAAGACATTAAAAAAGAAAGGGAAACTATTAAACAATGCAATTGCTGAAATAGAATTTCTTGGACAAGTGAAAAAATAAAATTAACTGCTTAGATGAAAAATTTTGCTTAAAATTTGACTTGGAACACAGTGAAATAGTGTGTTTTGAATCAAATATGAATCATTGGAAGCAAGTTCAACATTGTTGAGCTGAGCTTATTGTTACTGTTTACCGTAATGATACGCATACAGAGGACCAAATACAGAACCAAACACAGAAATTGTTCCACCGGACAACCCCTCGGACGACCGGAAGATAACATGACAATCGCGGTGGACACCATAACAATTGCAGTCGACAAGCTCTAGTCAATCGTCTGGCCGGACGACCGGATGCACAATTTCTATGTTTGGATCTGTGTTTGGTTGTCTATGTGTCTAGACTTCTGTTTAATATCCTGCTACTCAATAGCTTTGAATTCTTCAAGTCACTTAATCCCAAGAATTTGGTTAAACGGTAAAGACTTGAGAATAAGATTTAAAGTCTTTGAGTTCGAGTCACCTTAATTAGCCATTGGAGGTTTGCCCAATCATAAACCTTAGTGTCCCGGAATTAATTCAGGTGCCCACACACTAATTTCGACACCCATTTATGTGTATATATATATATATATATATATAAAATCTTCAAGTCACTTTGGTCTATATCACATTGGCACCTAAAAGCATTAGGATCATCTATCCCCCCCCCAAAAAAAGAAAATGTTTGTCCCTCTGTCTAAGTCACTTAAAACCGGTTTTGATATTTTTTTTAAAACTTAAATCATATAATGAATCACAGCAGAATAAAAAACAACTATTTTATTTTAATACTAATAAGAGAGGATCCTGTGCCTCCATCCCCATAGTCACATATGCCTGCACCAAATTGAACCTGTGTTTAAATTCATTGGAGAAGAAGGGTGTGTGTGCCTAGGCTAGGGTTGGAGCTGTCACTGTCAGAGAGAGCTTCATTGCACGTGCAAACTGACCAGTATATGGGGGGGTTTGACCATTGGCAATGGCAGATTCACAAAGCTTAAGCTAAGCTAAGCTGGCATATGCTATTGCCAGCCTCCTAACCTCCCAAAACCTACTCTGCAAAATCAGAATTCCATCATGCACAAACACACACACACACACAGAGACAATGACTGACAGTGACACCAATTGATCTTTGTTATTCAACTCAAATTTGGAGCTCTTCTCTGCCACTCCAAGGTGTCCAAACACAGCCATTGTTTCCCACATTATGGGCATCTTCTTATTCAACTTGCTCAAATATACATCTTGTCAGCTTTCTTCCTTAAGAAATGCATCTTGTTTCTGATTCTATAAACCCCCCCCCCATACTTGTAGATTAAAAATTCCATGATCAAAGTAATGATCATGGATTCTATTCAGCCATAGATATACACCTTAGAGCATTTTAAATATCAGTTTTTCTCATCCTTTATTTAACTATATTTTGAGAGTTTTGGAGACTAGGCAAGCCAATTACGCAAAATCCATAATGTACTTTTGTTAAACAAAAATGTCCATTAGTGTTGGAGTTGCACTAATAAGTGTATATCTAATGCTCTACTAAATAAGTTGCCATTCCCAAAATATAGTAGTTTGTCGAAAAAATTGGTTGTTATACAGGTTGTCAAGTTATAACATTGTGAAACTTGCATAGAGAAAATGCAACCATTCTAGGTTACGATTACCAAATTATAAAATTTTTGTAGCATACCCTAATATGACTGACATTAAGAAAATGATAAAACCATTAGAGATGCTCTAATGAGACATCAATAAATATGCAGTCACATGATTAGATCTCCTCAAACATCAAAACCAACCATTTAATTGTATGGGTGTGTTTGTAATTCAACTCGGTTTATGTTTATTACTGGTTAGCAACCTACATATCCCAGTTAATAGGCAAATGACGAGGTTTCGCTATGTCTAATCTAGTATTTTTATTGGGATCTATTTTGACTTGATTTATGACTCTTCAATTTCTTGTATGTATTGAGTTATTTCGTTACCTTAGTTGCTTTGATATCTTTTGTCATAACAAGATGCATATTTATGGATAAAATATTCACCTACCAACATTTTTACAAACACAAATTCAGTCATTGAAACATACACAGAACACTCAACGGTGCGATCTCAATGGCTAGTTAGATTCCTTAGGTGTTTACAGACAAGTGATACCTCCTGTAATTTTTCACCCTAACAGTGTGTTGATGTGTTAACAAGGTTCATTGGACTTGTCTATATGAACTTGCAAGCTCCTCAGACATTTTAGTTTTTTCAATTTCAATTACAAGAGTCATATGTTTGGTTTTTTCATTCATTTGATTGCTACCTAATCTAATTGAATTGGCTTTTAATGATTCTTTTCTTTCTAGAGATATTGTTTATTAGATTGATTGAGAATCAAATATATCACTTTCTTGTGAAGTATACACTGCTTGAATTAGAACAACTCAGTGTTGCCCCTACCTTCAACATTACAAAATATCAACAACTCTGATTAGTAGCCATTAGTTGTTTAAATTTTTTGAGAAGATCTTTGGGATGTTTGATGTAGTTTATTTTATGTTTAAAGTTGATAATCAAGGAGTATGTTCGGTGAAATTTTTTGTAACTAGAAAGTTGAAAGTGTCATTCCTCTAACTTTTCAACCTATTCCTCATAGAGGCATTAAACACACAATCGTACGCAAAATTATTATTTAATTTCGGAAAAATCTATGGTGCACAACCCTTACACTGTAAGAAATGTTTGCACCATTTTTGCCGATCAAAAAAAAATTGTTATACCATTCTGTGGTGTTAGTTATGGCACTTTGTGATAAAAAAAAAAATATGAGTAAATATATGGTACACACCTCTAAATTAGAATAAATATTGAATGTAACAGTGATATCAAGTGACGGTATTACTGTCTATTAATGAGCAATTTCATTTTGCAGTAGGGATTAGAATAATATTGGCTTAATGGAAGACAAGGTTTGTCCACCTAATCTATTTGTGACTTTTTATTGGTCAATCAATGATACCACGTATTGTACTTAATTATTTTTCTTTTCTTTCTAAAATCGAAGTTACTAACCATTGTGAGTATGCAATGAACATAATTATTTGTGATGAGAAAAGTTATGATGTGATGTGATGTTTGTTAGAAATTTTGTGGCTATGTTATGTAAATTACCATTAGATGCACATGTAGGCCTTGTTTGGGAAGTTGATTATTTTAGTTGACTATTTGATTTTTTGACTATTCTAGTTTAACAAAAATATTTGTGTTTGGAAAGTTAGTTGGCTTTTTTTTTTTAGTTGATTTGATAGCTGTGAGAGAAAAAAATAAAATGATTATGAATTGATGACATTTTGTCTTATTAATTATTTTTACTTATTTTATCTTTTAGTAAACTATTTTAACCGAATCATCTTCCCAAACGTCCGATAGTATGTTTTGTTTAGGGGTATATAACTTTTGCAACAATCTTGTGATTAAACTACTATGGGGTGGTTAAATACCTACCAAATTTATTAAAATTTGGATCATCTTTCCTATCAATTATAGAAGAGTAATATTAGAAATTTCAAAAATTTTATCAAATATCTCATATGGACACCATGTGAGTTTCACACTCATGTGAGACATTTAGTAGAAATTTTGATAAAACTTTCAGGATCTCTAACATTTTTTATTATAGAAAACTGGCGCCTTCATTTTTTTTGTCCATTTATTTAACAATTTAGTAGTAAATGCATAACAAATATTTTACAAATAAACATAGTAATGATCCTGTTCCCTTTCCAAATTCTGTTTCAAATATTTGTTTAAACTCTTCCACATGCATCTGCGTTGATTTCTCTCATTTCTGCAGACAACCCAATTTAAACTGATCACAAAAACGATTTATATAATTGGATTGGGGGTTCAATTTAGGGCCATGTAGGCCCACCCCGTTGATCAAATCATTAATTTTTACTGTTTTATGAGTAAATTATTTATACAACAAATTAAGTTAATTGAATAGTAGTAGTTGTATGTTTGGGCCATATTTATTTATTTTATTTAAAAAAGACAATTTATTCTTAAAATCATAATCATAATTCATTTTAAGATAAATGTGATCTAAATATATGGTTACTAATATTCGATCAACATGAAATTTTATACAAATGATTTATTTATGTGACATTACATGTTAAACGGTTTGAATTATAGGGGTAGATCTAAGCTCACATGGCCATAAACTAGACCCTCTAGTCCAAGCCTCATTTTTTTCTGACGTATAACTTTTCAAAAGACATAATCAATTCTAAATATTTGTAATCATTTGAATATTACATATTTCGATTAAGCCCAAAATGTATTGGCAAAAATCAAACTCAAAACGTTTGAATTTACAGCTCATCCCAAAGCTAGTGCTAGGCTACTGATGATTGTCGTCGACATATAAATAATTGTCGATATAAATAATTTCTTGTAATCAACTAAGGGAAATTTCCCTCAAACCAAACAGGTATACATGAGATCTAATGCTAACCTGGTAGATAATAAATAAAATAATTCTTGCAACCAACAAAGGGAAGATTCCCTCAAACCAAACAGGCACATGAGATCTAATCCCAACCCCTATATATGACACCCAACTCCACTCTCTAACCTTCATTGCCTCAAACACCACAAACCATTTTCCAAGTACCCATTTCTCACAATGTCTCAATTCCTTCTTGTTTGCTTGATCTTAGCAAATGCTTTTGTGCTGAATGTAGCATCATCTTTCCCAAACCCTCCATATCCGAGCCCACGAAAGCTCGGAAACCACCATATTAATGTTGTGTTGTCCTCTGTTGCACCAAGTTTGAGCCCATCCAGAGCACCTGAAAGTGAAGCTGTGAACTCGGTGAAAGAGGTCAGTGCATCGGATCAAGTGACGCGGTTCATCCCGGGGCAGCAAGTTCGGATAGAAAAACAGCACCGTTCGATTGATAGGTCAGTCGCCGGAGGTGGTGTGATTCTTGGGGGCCTTGCCACCACTTTCTTGGTGGCTGTTTTTTGTTACATCAGGGCAACTAGGAAGAAAAATGCAGAGCCTGAAGCCTAAAAGTAGTGTTCTTTTTTTCATATGTGAATACATGTATAGAATTGAGAGTAGAACATGATTTTGCTAGCATCATTCTAAAAAGAAAAATAAAATAAAATTGGAAATGAGAATTCATTGTTCATTGACATAAAGTGGCTGATTGAATCAATAATTTTAGTGATCGAAATGGTTTGGTGGGAAATGTACCTATTCAAATAGGAAAATGTTAGGGACACTATCTGGACCTTTTCCTCAAGTGACACGACCAATAAATTAGTGAGCAGCCATTGGGCGCCACGCGTGCACTCACCATGTTCGTATTTAGGAAAATTGCCTATTTATAATTTTTTTGTTTTGATAACTCAATGTTAAAGTCAGTTTTGGTCGCAGTTCAACTAATTCTGAAATCAAATTAACGATTAAGCAAATTTCAAGACCTTGGATCTTATCTACTTATTTTGTTTTTTTAATACATCGAAAACTATATAGCCTAAGAGAAGAAGATCTTATTTATGATAAGATTCAAACTCAAACATCCTAATAAATTGCAGAAGTTTTGGTCAACAAAACTATTCCTAATTGATTTTTACAAATCATTTGCCATATGATCTATCACCCTTGATGCCTCTTTGCTACTACCCCAAAAAACAAATTAAAAATCTTTTGTTCAAAAGATTTATTTATTTGTAGGTTGATACATAATTACTTTAATAGCAATACGGCTCATGGAATCGAATCATTCATGTGAAATTAATTCCATTTTTCTCTAAGATTAATTAATAGAATTAGGTGTTAATTACATATTTAAAAACATCAACTAGGCTCCACTGATTATTGCTTTCTTATATAAGTTTGGTTCTTGAAGTTTATTGTACAATTCTATACTCAATTGAGATGGTGCCACATTGACAACATAATTTTTTTTTTCTACCATTAACTTAGCAAAAATAAACAAATAGTCGAGATTTGTTATCAATTTATAAATGTAAGATTTAAATTGAAAATATCAAAATTACAGGATTTAATTTGTTATAGCGGTTAAATTTTTTTTTTATTTTTTTCTTTATAGTTTTCACTTAAATTTTTATTTATGATTTCAAAAATTTTGAAACTGTAAACAAAAATGTATTTGGAGTCTCTTTTAATTTTCAAAAAGTATAAATAGTAATAAAAATTACTAAATTTTAGTAAACAAAAGAAAATTTGTTTTCAATTATTTTGAAAAATAATTTTATTTCTTCTTCCGTTCCTCACCTTTTCAGGCCGCTTATCACACCACCTTCAGCCAACCTCAGTTACTCACTCATTTTCAAAACAAATTTATAAAACATGTGTACAAAAGATTAATGGCAAGGGGCATGAAGGCCCCATATGTAGAAACTCAATGGTTCAACATATATGAGAAGAAGAAGAAAAACAAAAAAGAGGAGGGTGAAGAGTGGGGGTAATGTTACACTTGCTGAAAAATTGTACAATTTTTTTTAGGATAAATTACAAACACATCCCCTGAGGTTTATTTAAATTACAAATTGTCCCTTATAGTTTTAGAAATTACATTATGTTCCCAAGGTTTCTAATTTCATAACAAATAGGTTATTTTATTAATAAATTATCAAGTTAATTAACAGTTTTTAATAATGTTAAAATTTTATTTCAATTAATAATTCAGATAATTTTATTACTGTATAGGTGAACAGTTAGAAATTTCACTTTTTCAATTAATTCTGTTAAATAAAAAATTTTGACAGGGAGGTATTTGTAATTTCTCAAATCACAGGGAACAATTTGTATTCTAAGCAAACCTCAGGAAATGTATTTGTAATTTATCCTTTTTTTTATTATTACAAATTGATGTAAAGTAGTAATAAAATTAAAAATTTGAAATGATCTAATAAAATAAAATAATAAAAATTGTATCATTACGCAAGAAATGATAAATTTTTTCATGAATGATATAAACAATAATTTTTTTCATGAATGATATAAACAGAAAATTCTACAAATTAATGTTCAAATTATTAAAAGATAACCCGTAATAAGTCTCACAAATCTAAGAGGTTATTTGGCATGCACTATATAAATGCACTTATTTGAGTCACATCACTCTCTACTTTTCTGTATGTTTTTTTTGTAAAAAGTCAAAAAGTATATTTATTTAGATCATTCAAAACACTCCCTAAATATATTGGTCAAATTTAAATTTAAACTTAAAAATTCTAACCCTAAATTTTATTTGTTTGTAGAGGAATTGAAGCGGCATTAGCTGGGGAGATTCTTTAACAAAGCCGTCCAATCACAAAATTTCTTACAATAAAACAAGGAATTAATTAATTAAAAACGAATTTATAAACTCTAATGTTTGAACTCACTTGACGACTTTGTTGAAAGAATCAAATCAAAATGAGAGAATTTTATATAATATTTATTACTAGTTCAACATTTGTTTAAAACATCATCTCTGTTAATGTAAATTGTATAAATTACCACTACCTACCACTTCCACTACCACCTACACCTACCACCTCCACTACCACCTACACCTACCACTACCACCTATCACCTCCCACCTTTTCAATCTATATATACAGAGTTGTAATCATCAATACATCTATCAATAACATTCAATACAATATTCATCAATACAATTTATTCTCTCCTTCTCTCTCTGTCAATTTATCTTACAATCTCAATAACTACAAACAAGAAAGTTTGAAATAAGGTGGAAAAGTGTGGCACAATCTCTGTTTTCATTCTAGAAAGCCAACTTTTCACTTTCCTCTAGAATTGCCACACTTCAAACACACTCTGGGAAGTGGCTAAAAAAAGTTAGTTTTTTGGTTTTTTAATTTTTTTTATTTAAAAAAGTCAATTTTTTTATTCAAAAGAATCCAATTTTTTGTCAAAAAAGTAACTAAGAACGTCAAAAAATTAATTTTTTATCAACTTTTCAAAACGTCACACAAAGAGCTAACACCCAACAACCCTTTCTAGAGAACAATTCAAAACTTCTTCATCATTTTTCTCTCAAAAAATTTAAATTCAAATACAATTTAAATAAATCATTCAAAATCTCTTAACTATTTAACAAAGTTGGATCAATATTATCTCATGAAAAATGCTAGAAATCTATAATTTTAAATTCACAAATTCACCCATAATAATGTCGCTAGGGAATTGACATATATATCATTGAGTTTATAAAAAATTAAAAGTTGACACTTATTATATCACATTCGGGTTTCAAACATTTTTATTATCTCACACAGAAAATGATATTCATATATAATTTGTATACATAATTTGTCACCAGAATGATATGCTAGTGGAATTTTAGTAATTAAATATCATTAAAATAGACATTTTATTTTAAATGATAAGTCTTAATTCAACAATTTATTTATTTTTTGATAACTAGATGTCCCAGTTAACTTACGCATATCTCCACTAATCTTGAGATCCTAAAGTTCTATGTCCCGTTTTTAAGAGTTAATTACCTAAAAATCCTATTTTTAAATGTTATGGTAGCTTGAGTCCTATCTATGATTTTTTGTACCAATAAGTCCTATTCCTCTTTTTTTTTCTTTTCTTTTTTAAAATTTTTAAAATTATGAACATTACCAATTTTGCATAGTAATGTTCCAGATAATTGTTTTACCAACTAATGAAAAAAACAGAGTATGAGATTAAACGTTTTTACTATTCTACTTATTGGTTTGAATCAACTATCCAATAAAATCGAAAATATTATCAGTTTTTTCCTAGTTTTAAAATTGAGAACATTATTAGTTTTTTCATTTTTTTTTTTGCACATAAATGTTGTATCATCATACTCCTTTATAGACACAAAATTTTCAGTTTTGCACAAAAAAATCATTCAGTTTTTTCAATTTTTTTTAATTTTTTTTTTGCACATATATATATATATATATATATTAGTTTTTTCAATTTAAAAGTTGATGTTTTAAAGTTCTGGAAATCAAAATAAATGTCAAATTATCATGTTTCTTTATAGATAATTATAAATGATAAACAATCATTGTTTGAAGGGTAATTTCAATTATTAAAAATTTAATGGGACTTGAAGGTTCAAAAAATCTTAGTTAAATAGAGTATAAATTCATAAATTAAGACTTATGTATAAATACTTTTTATTTTATTTTATATTGTTTTAAATATAAGTAAGTAATTCGTTATTTTATATTCCACTCATTTCGTGAGATTCAATAATCTCCTCCATATAGAGATACTATGTCCCACCAAGCTATTTAAATTTGAATAAATTTTTTGTAAACATCAAATCATATATTTTATAAATTTATTAATTCAATTCCAAGATTATGCCTGCCCTAACAAACATAACCAAATAGTGAGCAAACGAAAGTGGAAACTTGTGGCACAACCAATCTTGAAAAAAAAATCTCTTGTTTTAATCTAGAAACTTACTTTTCACTTTTTACCTAGAGATGTTACACTTCAAAACAGAAAGGCCCACCCCTTCTAGATGACAATTAAACAACTACTCCATCATTAATATAACCATAAAATTAAATTAGTCTACCATTTAAAAAAATAAACCCATTACATTAAAGTCCACATTTGTCGTCATTCATTATATAATTACCAGGTCTCCTCTACTTCTTGATCACCTCTTTGCCAAGTCCACTTGTGTTTGGACATATATATATACACATACAAAGATCAATCTTCCAATATACAGACCTTGTTGAAGCCAAAAATAGACATGGGTTTGCTCAAATTCAAGCTTTCTCTTCTTCTCTTGTTGCTGTTGATTGGTGGTTTTAAATGTCAGAGACCAAGAGTTGCAGCAGCCAGGCCACTTTCTTCTTTCCTACCTCAACAAAGTAAGGGTTTACTAATCTCTCTCTCTCTCTCGCTCTCCCCCCAAAATATCATAAAAATACAACATATGAATTAGATTATGTTGAATATAGTTCACACAACACAATTTGAATCTATGGGATGTACTTTATTTTTGAAATATTGTTCGAATACTTTTTCATGCTACATAACCTTTTTGATTAATTAGTGATGATATTATTGATGTGTAGGACACACAAAACTATTTGCAACACTGGGAATGGACTGCAAGTGTTGTGATGGCACAGGAGGAGGAGAATGCACAAGTACATGGGTTGAGCCTTGTTCTAAACTCCAATGCCTTCCTTGGAAGCTGCATTAGCATAGTCGTGTATCTGTAATTTTTTTTTTATTATTTAGTACATAGCTATATATATATATATATTAGAAGGTGTGTACACCCATATAAGTGTGCTTGAAATCGGCAGTTATAGATCTCTGAATCTGACTGAATTCAGTCATTACAGTTGCAATTACAAAAAGATAATTTGGAAAAGTAAAAAGCTGTGACACTTTGTGTTTATACCAAGTTTATTGTAAAATTTATATAATAGTATATATATGTATGCTAGTTAAATGAAATGAAGTTAGTTTCAGCTTGCAAGTTCTAACCCAATTTTGAAGTTTCAAGTTACTGCCTACTTCTCAGTTTTCCTTATATGAACATAAAATTTCTACTAGAAATTAAAGGGTGTTAGCCAGAAATAGTTTCTGAAAAACTTGATCAATTTTTTTGATTGTTTGTTTGTTTTTTTTTTTTTTTTAAATGAAAGCCTGTTATTAGTTGTTAAATTAATCATTTAGGTTTGACAATTTCTTTTTTCCGGCACATCAAAAAGAAAATTACATATATACAAATTGAAGAGAGAGCCTTATCCAATAAGATGAGGATGGTTTTTTAAGCCAAGTGAACTAGTCCTCCTTAACCTAAATTCCTGACCTGATAGTAAGATACTGAACTGGTCCTAATTGATTAATAATACATTTTCTCAAAATTAGATCAAAGAGGAACTTAAGTTTAATGACATTTTTACCAAATGCGGGTTGTCATGAAGTTGTGTTTTCAATTGATTACTTTTTGAAAATACGACATCAATCCTGAAGTTGGGTCTTAAAAACACAATTTTATAAAATAATTTATATTTGAAAAATAAGTTTAAATTGCTTGAATTTATAAATTTTGTTTTTAAAACAACTAGTATTTGTTATTTAAAAAAGAAGAAGAAGAAGAAGAAGAAGAAGCAATATCAATTTTAATTGTTGCTAGTCTCCTCTCCTCTAGATGTCAACAGATGAAATAGAAGCCTGTGAAAGAAAACACAAAAAATGTAAAAGAAAAGTGGTTTAGACCACTAAAAGAGGAGCACTAACACTATGTTTGGGAACCTAGGAGAGAAAAGAAAAGAAATAATTACTTAAGTAATAAGAGAAAAGAAAAAAAAAATGATCGTGATTTCTCTCATTTTTGTTTGGATAAGGAAGAAATAAAAGAAAAGAAATGATTGTGATTTCTCTCATTCTTGTTTGGTTAGGTTTCATTAAGAGAAAAGAAAAGAAATTATTTTATGTTATATTACCAAAATAACTTTTTTATATTTTCAATCATTTTATTTCTTTTATTTTTATAGGGACAAAATAGGTATTATGAAAATAGTAATTTCTTTTCTCTCCCAATCTCTCCATTTTTGGAAAGATTGAAAATGAGGTTCATAAGAGAAATGAGTTTCTCTCCATTTCTTTTCATTTCTTTCTACTTAAGTTATCCAAACAAATAAGAGAAATACATATCACTCCATTTCTTTTCTTTTCTCCCCAAATTACTCAATCCAAACATAGTGTAAAGGAGTATTAATTTGTCCTTTTTCCTTTGTATTTTGTCTTTTTCCTTTATTTTGTTTTTGTTTTTTATTTTATTTTAAATGGATGCCAGCTCAATAGAACTGCATTTAGAGCAGCTCTACAAGTGGTCTCAATCACCACTGAATGTGAAAATGGCATCTTTTGGTTATCATTTTTCAAAAATACTTTTCAGAAAATTTTACTTTCTTATTTTCTGTGTTTTTTTATTTTTACTGAATTTTTTTAATATTTTAAGCAATTTTTTTAATTTTTAGACATCCCTAACATAAATATACCTAAAAAATAAAAAAAATTGAAAAAAACCTTTTAAAAATTCACTAAATACCAAAAATACAAAAAAAAAAAACGAGAATTCAGTACATTTTTTGTATTTTTATGTATTTATTAATTTTTAAAAATATTTTTTCACAATTTTTTTACTTTTTAGATACATTTAAGTAAGGTGCATCTAAAAAAGTAAAAAAAATGTTTAAAATTTGAAAAATATTCACTAAAAATAAAAAAACACGAAAATAAAAAAACTCATTTTTTAAAAAACTTAATTCAAAAAACTCAAACCAAACACACTGAATAGTTTTCTAAGCTTCCATAAGGGTTGGAAACAGTCAACAACAGATCACTCCATAGAATCAAATGCCATTATTACATGTATAATAATACAAGTTAAAACTTAGATGTCCTTCGTTATGAGCTAAGTGATCGCCTACAAGTTCTACAACAATCATATCATAGGCACATCTCAAAATCATGAGAATCACTTAGCTCTTCTCTCTTTTTGTGTGGAGCGATGGCTTGTGTAGCGATTTAACATGAGCTCTTTCAAATACATTGTCTTGACTTAATTATTCAATAAATGAAATGTAGTGAATGCATTGTTGATAAAGAGCATGGAGGATGCGGGCTTCCTAATATAATCCACTTTTGACCTTCTCCACTTATTCTAATGCACAAATTTTATCAATTATAATCTTAGGTTTCGTTTGGCATAAGATTTTTTTGACTATTTTAATTACAAAAAAATAAAATAGGTTGAAAAAATCAATAGGACAAAATATCACATTCAAACCATAATCATTTCTTTTTTTTCTCTCACAAAAATCAAAAAAACTAAAAAGTTCATTTTAAACAAGAATTTTTAATCATAAACTAAAATAATTAAAAAGCTAACTCATATCCAAACGAAAGCTTATTGACCAATGTGTGAATTCTATCAGCTTTCGTGTGTGCTAATGCTTTATTAATGTTTCACATGTCAACAAAAGAAATTCAACTTCACCTTCTCATTAGACCACATACCTTTTTTTTCTTTTTTCTTTTTTGAGGGGGGTTATTAATATTTCATGTGTCAACCGCGAATTATTTATTTCATGTCTGTTAATGTAAATTGTGTAAATTACCACACCACCAACTCCACCTACCATCTCCACTACCACCCACTCCACCTACCACCTCCACTACCACCCACTCCACCTACTCACCTACCTCACCTACTCCCAAATCCTATCCTATATAATAGCTTGTAATATACAAAATATATACAAAAAACACAACAATCAATAATACTACAATTTATCATGGTATCAGAGCAGGTTTAGAACCTAATATTTTCGCTTCACAGGCGGGCGGCAACCTCACCTTAGCCGTCCGCCGGACCTCAACCAATTCCGCTAAAGTTTTCTACACATATCTTCACTCTCCGACACCGACTCGCTCTCTCCGTCCCCTGAATCTGGAACCCCGGAGAATCCCACGCCGCCGCTGCTGAAGACGGTGTCGGAGACCGACGACCTCGTGAAGCCGAGGGAGATCACTCCCCTCTTCCACAGAAACCCTCTTCGACCCAAACGACCTCCTCAGCCTCTTCAGTCCCCAGCAAAATCATTTTTACATTCTCTCTCTACTTCATCAACACCAATGGCTGCCTCTTCAACCTCTGCCGCTCTCAGAACCATCTCTTCCTCCGTCAAGCTCCTCCCAACCACCATGACCGCCACTTCACCTTCCCAACCACCGTTTGGAGATGAAATAAGTTCTACTTATGCCATCATCGGAACCGACCCACCAGCTGCCAAGATTTTTTGCTCCAGCCCGAAGAGAGTTTCAAGCTTGCTCTTCACAAGAGTGTATTCATGTTCCAATAGTTGCAGAAATCTCACACACCCATCAAGATTTTTCTCCTCACAGCAGTTTCTGAAGCCAACACACACATTTTTGACTCTCTGTGCACCTATGCTAGAACTACTACCCTTGAACTGGTGGACATGGGCATCGACCTGTTTGTAATCTACAATCTGTTGTTGTAGAGCAGAGGCCAAATTGTTGAGAAGCCTCTGAGAATCTTCAAAGAAGAGAGACACAACTTCAACCACAAACTCTGGGTTGCTATCATCTTGGAGTTTCTGAAGCTGTGTAAACTGATCATCCAAGAAACCCTTCTCGCAAACCAAAAAAACCAACCCATCATTACAAAACCTCAATGAAACAAAATCCAAGAAACAGAACTAAAAAACAACCCAAAAACAAACGAACCCATGCCAACCAACAGCTTTGTTTTCTTTTCTGCAGCCAGCTACCAATCGCCCTCACTTCTCTACTCTGCCGCCGGCCTTTTCTTCTTGCCTCCGTCCTGGACAGCCCTTGCCAGTGTTGCCTCCATGTTTCCCACGCCACCGAGCACGTTCAGTCCCCGCTGCTCCTCCACTGCAGCATATGGCGGATCTCCAAATCGGAACATCACGGTGGCCTTCCGCTTCAGCTCCTTGTTTTCTGCCTTTAGCACGCTTATCTCTGCTCGCGCATCCTTATACATGCGTTGGAGCAGAGCCAGTTGGGCGTTTAATTGCTGCACCTCATTTGTCCTACTCTGCAGCCGGTGCGACAAGTTTGTGACCGCCGTCATGGACTCCACACATGCTTTCAAAGTATACTGATTAGCCTCCACATCCGTTTGCACTGCCATTTTTTGCTCCACCGACCGCATCGGAAAGTGCAACGGAGCAAACTCCGGGGCGCTTGGTTGAGGTTCCAGTGCCACCGCACCAGTTTTCTCTCTTGTTGACTTGTTGAGGTCTGGAAAGAGAGTGAGCAGACTCCGGGACGACGAGGCCATTTTCTGGGCAACAGAGTGTTACAGAATATCTCTCGCAACAGAGTGTTACAGACTCTCTCTCTCAGCACAACGAAGAGTTTTTCAGAGGATTTCGCAGGATTTTTGCCTCTGCCTCGGCCTCAGGCTTCATCTTGGTTAAATAGCCGAGGCAGCCACGCGCATCGCGCGCCTCTTGACGCCAGACAAACGGGCACGCCAGCAAGGCACTCACGTGCCTCGCCATCATATCTGGCATGCCTTTTGATGCATCGGGCACGCCTTTTGATGGCACGCCTTTTGACAGATTGGGCACACCTTTTGAGGGCAAGACTTTTGAGGGCTCGATATATATCTCCATGTCTATTTTTTGGGCAGCCTATCTACACACTCATATAGTGTCTTCTACACCGGTCAGCTTTATCAATCCCTCTGTTTCAACCTCAAATAGGTTTCTATCTTCACACCTATTTGAGTTTGAGGGGGGGTTATACACAGTATCCTGTATAAGTCGCTCATGGCGCACTCCCTAAGTCGCCCCCTTGGTGCACCACCACAACCTCTGCTACAACGGTCCGACATGACCCCATAAACTGTCTTCTACAACGGTCCGACATGACCCCATAAACTGTCTTCTACAACGGTCCGACATGACCCCATAAACTGTCTTCTACAACGGTCCGACATGACCCCATAAACTGTCTTCTACAACGGTCCGACATGACCCCATAAACTGTCTTCTACAACGGTCCGACATGACCCCATAAACTGTCTTCTACAACGGTCCGACATGACCCCATAAACTGTCTTCTACATCGGTCTGACACGACCACACAGTGTCTGCTTCAACGGTCCGACATGACCCCGTAAACTGTCTGCTACATCGGTCTGACACGATCATAAACTGTCTTCTACATCGGTCCGACATGACCCCGTAAACTGTCTTCTACACCGGTCTGACACGACCATACCGTGTCTCCTATCCTGTTTTATTTTATTTATCAGTTTATTTTTCTGTTTTGTTACTCTCTCCAAACTCAAGTTGGCTAGTGCCTATCCTCCTTGAGTTTGAGGGGGGCTGTTAATGTAAATTGTGTAAATTACCACACCACCAACTCCACCTACCATCTCCACTACCACCCACTCCACCTACCACCTCCACTACCACCCACTCCACCTACTCACCTACCTCACCTACTCCCAAATCCTCTCCTATATAATAGCTTGTAATATACAAAATATATACAAAAAACACAACAATCAATAATACTACAATTTATCAATGTCAACCATGACTTATTAATATTTCATATGTCAACCACGTCTTATTAATATTTCACATGCCAAACAAAAGAAATTCACCTTCACCTTTTCATTAGACCACATAATCTGGGAGAAGGGGTGCTGTTGTGTTTTAAAGCACAGTAACTACTGTTGTGCTCCTTGTAGGGGATTGTCCTAAGTGTTTTTTTTGATGATCTGAATCGTTCATATTGTAGAATTTGTTGAGTAGATCATCCTTACAAAATATCAAGTTGATTGGATATCTATAACCCTATAACCACAGTACATTTGTTACTAAAAAAATTAACGGTTAACATAGCTTTCATAAATTTTAAAAAATAATTAGGATCTAATCATGGGGTTATGAATATCCGATTAACTTGATTTTTTACATGAATAATATTCTTGATGAACCGTTCGATAAGAACGGTTTAGATCATCAAAAAACATTTGGAAGACCTCCCACAAAAGGGCAGCAGTAACTGTTGTGCCTTAAGACATAATAGTATCCCTTCTCTACATATCTGTAGGGGGGGAATTCAACCATGACTTGGTAAAAAAGTTTGTATTTAGATCTTAGTTGTGTATATGATAAATTTTTTAAAAATCTTTTTTGTTTTTGTTTTTCCTTACAAATCTAAGATTTAAATACAATATAGGAGAATTTGAGCTTTACTCAAATGATTGTACTTCAGATTTCTAAAGAGAGTTTAGGTTCGAACTTATGGAGAAGTGTAGAATATGCTAGCCTAACACCTTACCTTGCACAAGAAATAGAAATAAAAATATTTTTCACAATTTTCTTTTTATTTATTTATTTATACAAATTGGTTCTCAAATTTATGACGTAAACAAACACAATCTAATGACTTAACATTCTTGGAGTCCACGGATTCGAAACTGGGCCAAGATTTTTTTTGGTGGGTAGAGCAGATAGCCCATCTCCCAAGTTGAGTGTCATTTTGGCCCATCTGTTGAGAGCATTAAAAGCCAGGCCCATAAATGGATATATATTTTAGGGGGAAATATCAAATCAGTGTAATTTCAAAAAATAATTATAAATTAGCGATAAATTGTATAATTATTAATAATTAAAATCATAATATTTTTCATGAATTTATAATTATAAAATTTATTACTAATTTATAATTATTTTTTAAAAAGTGCACCGAATTGTAATTTTTCCTATATTTTATTGACTTTGGGCCTAGACCGGAAGATCAAACCAAAAACTATTTGATCTGTCCAAACACCAAACTCACATTTGTTAGCATTGTCAATTTTTTTTAAGGGGAAATTACCCACAGGTCCTATGTGAAACATGTGTACATTATTTAATTCAGTAATTTTTTGAGTAGACTCAAAAGTTCTACTTTCTTCTCTCTCTCTCTGTGCTTTTTGCCTGACTGTTTACGTTTTCCTCTCTCCTTTTTTTTTGCATTTTTCTCTCATCTTCTTTGTCATGGACGAGTACTATCATGTCTTTCTCCATTGATCGGGGTTCACCGAAAACCATCAACCATCGAAATCAACTCGTGACTTCACCCTCACCGACGGCGAAGATGATATATTTCCGACGAAGAAGATGAGTGGATCTACTCAGATCTGATGTAGATACATCAGATATGAGTAGATCTACATCAGATTTGGCTAGATCTAAACAAAAAATAGTTGCCGGAGTACAATCCTTTCTCTATAGCCGCCTTTCTCCTTCGATCTCTTATTTTTTTTTTATTTTCTCTGCTATACACTTCTGTTTTTTTGTTCTAATAGAGAAAATTTTCAAATTATGAACAAGTAGTTTTTGAGTTTTAGTTGCAGGCGGTGAAAACTGTAAAATTTTACAGTTTCAAATTTTTTTTGGTGCTGGAATGAATCATGGTTAAAATTATAAAATTTTGCAGTTTCAAATTTTTTTGGTGCTGGAATGAATCATGGTATAAAACTGTTTTATAACATTATTTAGAACTGTAAAATTTTACAGTTTCATAACATATTTTTCAGTTTGATTAATAAGGATAAATGCTTAATAGATTTTTGCTTTGAAACTGTAACATTTTACAGATTCAAAACTTACTTTTCAGTTTGATCAATATTGGTGATTATTTGCTTGACCCTTACAAAAATTGAAAAATAGCATATGTTTTTTCCATTGTTGTTGTTTTTTGTCGTTTCATTTTTTTTCCTTTTAGTTTATCAATATTTAGCACGTTTTGCTATGTTTTTTTTGCTCTAATTTCTCCATTTATTCTTTTTTTTTTTCCAGCAATATTCTAGACATTCCGGTGAGTCTCCAGTGATATTTTTAACGTTAAGTGAACATTCTGAATATTCCGGCGACTTCCATTAACTTTCTTAACACTCCGGTGAACTTCCGGCGAAACTCCGGCGACTTCCCGGCGATGTTGAACATTCCGACGAGTCTCCAGCGACCGTTTGACGGAAGTCCGACGGTAGTAAGATGTAACAGTGTTTGTAAATTTTTTTTTAAAAAAAAAATAGAATTTTTTGGTAACAATTAAAAATGTATAGGACTAATTGGTGCAAGTGTTTTGTTTGAGAATTGTTGGGTCTTGAACTTTGTACATAAGACTTATCAGTAAGTTCCCTCTTTTTTTTTTCATCTATTTTTTATTTTTTTTATTTTTCAAAAAAAAAAACATAATATCTATTTTTGTTTATATGTTTTCAAAAATTATATAAAAACAACGAGCAAGTAGTTGGAGGTGGTGGTGAGGTGTGGATGGAGGTGGTGCTGGCTCTGAGGAAAGTTGGAGGTGATGGGGAAGAATTATGAGTGACTGAATTTTTATTTTGAAAACAAGTGAAAACAGTTATTTATGATATTGTCTAAGATCATTACTTATAAATTAAATCTTGACAATTTATGTTTAACTTTGAAATTTTATTTTGTTATCATAATTTAACAGTTCAAGTTAAAAATTAAAATAAAATGACGTTATTTTGCTGTGTATAGTTTAAAATAAAAAGACATTCTTTTAATATTATTTTGATTTAATTTTAAATTTAAATCATTAAATTATGTCAATTATTGAAATGTCTTGGTGGGGTAAAAACCATAAAACATGAGAAAGAAGGGCAAATGATAGTAATTCATACCAGAGGTGTCGCAATCTCATCCACTCAATCATCTCACAAATTTCTTGATATGGCAAAAAAATGAGTTTTCATCACAACTGAAATGTCTATATTTGATCAATTTCACCAAATAGAATACAACAACAAAAATGAGAGAAGCTTAGATTTATGAACCCAATGAAGTATAG